CCCAGAAACCCTACACGACACAAGGCAGATGTCTCCTGGTGGGGGGGGGGGGGGCGGCGGTTAGAAAACTGCCTGCCAAAGCTAATGACTGCCAAAGAATAGAAGGATAGGAACCCTGAGAAAGTCCTACCTCCAATCACAGGAGAAGAGACCTGGCCTAAGACTTAGGCCAGATCAGGGCAACACAATACCCATGTCCCAGCAACTAGCCTAGCACCAAGTAATAAGCAATGGTACTTTATTACTGGCATGGAGAGAAACCTCCTCTGTGGTAAAGGCAAAAGGGACAGCTGAAAGTGGAGGGTGGAACTGGAGCACTGAGAAACCTTCAAGCTTCCCAGACCCCACTGTAAGCAGGTAACAGCAGCAAAAAAATAATTTGAAGTCCATGGTGCATTGAAGATAAAAAGGAAAACCAAACCCAGCTAAAGTCCTGACTACTGAGTCAACCCCACTGCAATCTAATTCTTATATTTTAAATTCTTATTCTGATTTATAATGCTGTTGTGTTTAGTATATTGATGTAACAAAACAATTCTGCATTACTCAGTGAAAAAAAAATCTAATGCATGTGAGAAAGTGATTTTACCAATCATCAATTTAGATGTCACAATTTAATTTTGTTGGATCACTTGCTTACCCTGTGAGAGTTCGTCTTCTATAGAATATAAAGTACTGAAGAGGGTTTAATACAAATATGAGAAACACAGTTGTTAATATTAGATCCTTATGCATGTAGAGAATGCCTAGAAACAGAAAATTCTGTAGTTAACAAAGTCTGTAGAAAAGCCATTCCCTATTACGTTTTTCTTTTTAGGAATATCCATGTCCATTTAGGTCAGTTTCAAATTATGTCAAAGAGAATCCAAACATACAATTGCTAGACTTAACTTTAATGATTACATTTTGAAGATTCCCCCCCAGCTTTATTAGGTATGATTGACAAAATTGTATATATTTGAAATGTATAATGATGTGAAATGATAATCACAATCAGGTTAAGTAACACCCATCACCCCACATATTTACCTTTATTTCTATGTGGTGTCAATACTTAAGATTTGCTTTCAGCAAATTTCAAGTATAAATTACAGTATTATTAACTATAGTCACCAAGCTGTGGATTAGATCCCAGGAACTTATTCATCTTATAACTGAAAGTTAGTGCCATTTGAGCAGCATCTCCATTTCTCTCACCTCCCAGCCTCTGGTGTCCACCATTTTACTCTCTGTTTCTATGAGTTTGACGGGTTTTTTTTTTTTTTTTTTTTTTTGTTTTTTTTGTTTTTTTGTTTTTCAGATTCCACATATGTATGAAATCATATAGTACTTGTTTCTCTCTATCTGGCTTATTTCATATAGAATAATGTCCTCCGGTTTCATCCATGCTATGGTAAATGGTAGGATTTCCTTCTTCCTCGTGGCTGAATAATATTCTGTTGCATACATCTTTTTTTAAAAAAATGTTTATTTATTTTCAAAGAGAGAAGGAAGAAGAGAGGGAGAGAGAGAATCCCAAGCAGGCTCTACACAGTCCACACAGAGCCCAATGCAGGGCTTGAACTCATGAACCATGAGATCGTGCCCTGAGCCAAAATCAAGAGATGGACACTTAACCAACCAAGCCACCCATGCGCCCCTCATTTATTTATTTATTTAAATTCAAGTTAGTTAACATACAGTATAAGACTGGTTTCAGGAGTAGAATTTAGTGGTCCATCTCTTACATATAACACCCAGTCCTCATCCCAACAAGTGCCCTTCTTAATGCCCAATACCCATTTAGCCCATCCCCCCACATCTACTCCAGCAACAGTCTGTCCTCTGTATTTAAGAGTCTCTCATGGTTTTACTGCCTCTAGTTTTTATCTTGATTTTCCTCCTTCCTTTCCCCTATGTTCATCTATTTTGTTTCTTAAATTCCACATATGAGTAAAATCATATGATATGTGTCTTTCTCTGACTGACTTATTTTGCTTAAACGTTGTTGCAAATGGCAATATTTAATTCTTTGGAATCGTAATATTCCAATTGTATATGTATACACATATACTTCCCAACAACATTTTTTGTATCCTTTGGATAAATACCTAATAGTCCAATTGCTGGGTCATAGGGTATCTCTGTTTTTAATTTTTTGAGGAAACTCCATACTGTTCGAGTGGCTACAGCAGTTTGCATTCCCACCAACAGTGCAAAAGGGCTCTGGTGCTCCCCTTTTTCTACATCCTCACCAACATCTGTTGTTCCCTGAGTTGTTAATTTTAGCCATTCTGATGGGTGAGGTGGTATCTCATTGTAGTTTTGATTTGTATTTTCTGATGATGGGTGATGTTAGTCATGTGTCTGTTACTGATATTTCATGTGTTTGTTAGCCATCTGGATGTCTTCTTTGGAAAAGTGTCTATTCATGTCTTCTGCCCATATCTTTACTGGATTATTTGTTTTTTGGGTGTTGAGTTTGTAGGTTCTTTAGAGATTTTGGATACTAATCATTTATCAGATATATAATTTGCAAATATCTTCTCCCATTCTATTGGTTTCCTTTTAGTTTTGTTGATTGTTTCCTTTGCTGTGCAGAACCTTTTTATCTTGATAAGGTCCCAATAGTTCATTTTTGCTTTTATTTCCCTGCCTCCGGAGAAATGTCTAGTAAGAAGTTGCTGTGGCCAAGGTCAAAGAGGTTGCCTGTTTTCTACTCT